ACGAGATATTAAGCTGAACGAGGATTCTGATCTAATTTGACTAAGAATATAGTTTCCTATGCTCTCTACGTCTCTTTATCTTATCCAGTGTGTTTCTGCATCCGTTGAGATAAATGCCTCGTTCGTACGACCAATGTACTTTGCAGTACAAGCGAACCGGAAAGAATAGATAACCACAGAAGTGGTCAGCGTAGGCAACCTACCTTTGTGACTGGTTCAGATGATGAGCCACTTCACTGCACGCGTCAGACGTTTGTTTAAAAGGTCAGATATCGCGTTTCCTTGAAAAGGTACACGGATCGATAAGTTCTTCTGAGCCTTGTTCTGGTCGCAAATTGATCATCAATATCACCAGCACCACCACCACCACGACTCTAATCACAATCAATTTCACCCAAACACAGACACAGGTTATATCCCACTCTGTCCCTCTCCCTTTAACGTTGCAATGGGTTTATTCTGGAATTTGAAAAGGAGCACATTGCCACGTTGTCAGTGCTTTCTAGCTTTCCAGTTCACGCTTCATTTGCTCTATACAGTAAGAGGAATTCCCTCTCTGAAAGTGAAACAATCCTTCATTCATCTCAGGCAAAAATTCAACATGTTGGTGTGTTGCTGTGCATTCTCCGAGAACTGGAAGTGTTGCTCTTCACATACGTTTCGTGAGCCAGGCAATGTTACCACATCCGTGGAATTTCGGAGAAGCCCTTAAGTCCAGAAACGTAGTTGTCCGTTCTGTTCTTCCCCCAAGGTGAATTTGATTCAAGCGAGCACATTTTTCATTAGGCGAGGCGTCTCCTCCAGTTGGCTGGATTTCAGGATGGCAAAGGTGTCATGAACTAGCATGACCCATAATTTCGGGTTGATAAGAGGAATTACAATGGTCTCCAATCTCTGCATAACCGCTTCTGTGATGAGTACAGAAATGAGTGATCCCATCGGAGTGCCTCGTATCTATCTGTCCGTATAGCTGTTCGTGAAAAGATACAAATCCAAATAGTCCAAGGGGTTTTCTTGTCCGATTTGGCTAGTTTTGGGCTGTCATTGTCGGCGTTCATTAGAGCTGCCATGGTTTATTACGCCAAGGTAATGTCTATTTAAGTGAATAGAGTGGTGACTACACAGGAGCCATGATTTCGTCTTCCTCCAAGTTCACTGGCTTGATCTTTTCCATAAACTGTTCTAATGATCTGATAGAATATTGTGAACCTCGAACCAAATAACTGAGCAGTTTGTACAGTTCTTTCGCTAGGCAGTATGCGGGTGTTCCTGGTAGTGATATGGT